CCTCCCCCACATCCCCCCAGCCAGGCTCAGTAGTCCACACTGCTGACCAAACATTCTCCAGGCCCTAACCCCTCCTTACCCCGGGATAGAACCACACAATTGGTCATTTTCGATCGAGTCGGTTCAGTGGTTTCCCAGGCCAGTGATGTAGAGGAGTTGGGGGTCGGTAGTAGTGTGGAGGTGGGGAGGTGGGGAGGGGAGGGGTGAGGGGAGTGAGGGGAGGTGGGGGTGGTGAGAGGGGAGGTGGTTGTGGGGTGAGGGGGGAGGTGGGGTGGGGAATGGGATGGTGGTGGTGAGGTGTGAGGTGAGGAGAAAAGAAACACACACACACACACACACACACACACACACAACAAAGGAGTCAGCACAGCAGGGTCCGTCATCTCCCCAACAATCGCTGATCAGACTCCGGTATTGTTGATCTCCTGACGCCTCAATGACACCAACACGAGAGGATCAACATGGCGTCGGTGTTAGTGAGGAAGCAACATAGCGTCGGTGGTAGTGAGCAACATGGCGTCGGTGTTGAGTGAGGGGAAAGCAACATGGCGTCGGTGTTAGTGAGGAAGCAACATGGCGTCGGTGTTAGTGAGGGAAGCAACATGTCGTCGGTGTTGTTAGTGAGGAAGCAACATGGCGTAGTGTTGAGGGAAGCAACATGGCGTCGGTGTTAGTGAGGAAGCAACATGGCGTCGGTTAGCAGTGAGGGAAGCAACATGTCGTCGGTGTTAGTGAGGGAAGCAACATGTCGTCGGTGTTAGTGAGGAAGTTCGGTGAGTGAAAGCAACATGGCGTAGGTGTTAGTGAAAGCAACATGGCGTCGGTGTTAGTGGGAGGGAACAACATGTCGTCGGTGTTAGTGGGGAAGCAACATGTCGTCGGTGTTAGTGGGGAAGCAACATGGCGTCGGTGTTAGTGAGGGAAGCAACATGGCGTAGGTGTTAGTGAGGAAGCGATGGCGTCGGTGTTAGTGAGGAAACAACATATGTCGGTGTTAGTGAGGAAGCAACATGGCGTCGGTGTTAGTGAGGGAAGCAACATGGCGTCGGTGTTAGTGAGGAAACAACATGTCGTCGGTGTTAGTAGAAGCAACATGTATGTCGTGTTAGTGAGAAGCAACATGGTCGGTGTTAGAGGAAGCAACATGGCGTCGGTGTTAGTGAGGGAAGCAACATGGCGTCGGTGTTAGTGAGGGCAACATAGCGTCAGTGTTAGTGGGGGAAGGCGTCGGTGTTAGTGAGGGGCCGTAAGCAACATGTCGTAGGTGTTAGTGAGGGAAGCAACATGTCGTAGGTGTTAGTGAGGGAAGCAACATGTCGTAGGTGTTAGTGAGGGAAGCAACATGTCGTAGGTGTTAGTGAGGGAAGCAACATGGCGTCGGTGTTAGTGAGGGAAGCAACATGGCGACCTACTGACCCAAAAGAAATTACAATATATATAAACATTAAAATAAAAATGAAAATAAAATAAAATCGAAAAAAAAATGTAAATATCTTTGAAAAATATCAATAATGAATAAAAAAAAGCTAGTAAATAAAATTAAAAGAATCGTAAAAATGTAAAAAAAATAAAAAAATAAAAAAGTAAAAAAATTTGTAGGTGTAAAAGAATATAAGAGAAGGCGGGATCGGAGCCTCTATTATGAAGACTCGTGGGCGGAAAATGTCTGCCTCGATGTCCGTCTCAAAAATGTTAGGTGCATAATGCTGAGAGGGGAGTATCTCTCCCTCTCTCTCTCTCTCTCTGAGGAAAGCTGAACGATGGAGGAGATGAAGGAAGTGAGAGAAGGAATAAGGAAGGAGACAGGGGGGGATTGGAAGAGGGAAAATAGCAAGGAGAGAGAGAGAGAGAGAGAGAGAACTAGCTCATCATTTTCTTGACAATCGATGGTGGAGCAAATTAAAAAATTCCGTTCACTAAGCAACGATAATCTAAAAATAGTTCTTAAATCATCGTCCGTCCGGCAGCTGCACGACAACACAAGGTAGAGGAAGCATCGTACACCTCCACCTGTAACCTCTCTCCCCCCCTCCCTCCCCCTCCTAACCCCCTCTCCTCCTTCTCCCCCTCCCCAGCTAAAAAAAAAAATGCAGGTATAATTATCGTGCCTTCTTCCAGCACCTCCTGAAGACGCTATATATCTCGGTGAGTCTTGGTGATGACGTGGCCGGGAGATTTATACCTGAGGCTCTGAGTTTATCAGGTGTTCATACTGACGCTAATGAGTCTCATACATCAGTGTTGTCTTACATACCTGGGACACACACACACACACACACACACACACACACACTTATAGTTGGGAAGCATCGTGCATTTGGTAGACAACATAAGCTACTGGAAGATGTTTCGTATTTTGTTTTACTTAGGTGTGTGTGTGTGTGTGTGTGTGTGTGTGTGTGTGTGTGTGTGTGTGTGTGTGTGCCACCAACACTGTAGGCATATTTTAGAGTAGTCATAAACATATCAGGTTACAGGCGTTAATATATTAAAATACAACCATTCATATATCAGATTACAGCATTTTAATATATAAAGTTACAGTCATCAACATTTCACAATACATTCATTAATATATCAGCTTACATCTATTAACAGTTCGGATTACAGATATTCCTAGAACAGCCATATTAATATTTCAGAATACAGTCATTAAGCATTACAGGTGTTTGTTTACATCGTAATTCTCCCCAGTGTGTTGTAGTTAACGTTAATATAAACAGGTGTAAGAACATAAGACTAGAGGCATTTAACGACCACCAAATATCACTCCATGTCATGGTATCCTCTCATTCACACACACCGCTTCTTCCTACCATGCTGCTCATTCCTCACACTGTTAGTAAATCCTTCACCCTATCCTTCTATCTCCTTCTTTGGTTTTCACTTCTCCCTCCTATCATCCATTTCTTAATTACACACTCTTTTTAATCCACCATTTCTCACTTACTCTGTCTTCACTGCTGCCATAACGCCCTTCACCTGTTCCCAGTTTACCTTATTTTACTTTACCTCTCCATTTTATTATTTTCATTACATCTCCGAACATATTTCAGTTTCATCTTTAGTTTCATCTTTCTTCTATTTGTTAACTGGGTACGGTCTGGACTGAGGGAGAGGGAAAGACAGAGAGGGAAAGCAAAAACGAGAGGGAATGGGAGAGGGAGGGTACGTTAGGCCTCGAGTAGGTGAACTGTTTCTGTGGCCATGATACCAAGCAGCAGTAGTAGTAGTTACAAGTGATCGCGGGCACCTTCGTGCCCAGTGAAAGTTTGAACGCTCGTGCTTGGCTAGCGTACAGCGAATGAGGGTGCGCCAAGTCCGTAGACTTGCATGGTTAATTAGGGTGTGCCAGGTCCATAGACTTGCATCGTTTTCCATCGTAAATAAAATGGTTAATTAATGCCTTCCTAAAGAAACCATCGACATGGGCCCAGGTTTGTTCCACTACGATTTTTTTGCGATTTTTCCACCAAGTTTGATGAAAAATAATTGTGCCATTTCGGCTGCCCAGAACAGACAGACAGACAGACAGACAGACACATGGCTAGTCCTATAGTATATTAGATAGTAGTAGTCGTACCACCGAAACTGAGAGGAATGGGATTGCTGCCACCGAACATCAAAACTAAGTTAAGCTCACGGCAGCCCTCACGGACCACATAATAGCTCAGAACGCAACAGGGGAGGTGGATACCAGTGAAGTAAACAAGAATCGAAGGTCCATTACGACATAACGACAGCACGGCCAAAGTGATAAGTTGCAGCAACTGATGTTGCAAGTACCAGAGAATTTGAAAAAAAAAGTAGCTACAGCGCAGGAGGCGGGCGCCTCGAACTGGTTAACTACATTACCGATAAGGGCAAATGGTTTCAGTCTCAATAAATAAGAATTTACAGATGCCATTGCTCTAAGGTACGGTAGGCCAGTAAGTTTGCCCTCCCAGTGTGTGTGGCTCTTCTTATGACGTCGATCACGCCATGGTGTGCAAGAAAGGGGGCTTCATATGCATGAGGCATGACGAAGTAAGGGATTTCACAGCAAATATGTTGAAGGAAATCTGTCGTGATATCAAGGTAGAACCGACCCTCCTTCCATTGGACGGTGAGAATTTCCAACATAGGACTTCAAACACATCCAACGAAGCCCGTGTTGACGTCAGTACTCGAGGATTCTGGACGCTGGGACAGCGAGCCTTCTTCGACATCAGGATTTTTTTATCCCATGGCCGCATGTCACCGTAACCTAGCTCTTGATGCTGCACACAGGAGGAGCGAGAACGAAAAGAAAAGGGCATACGAGGAGAGAATTCAGAACGTTGATCAAGGCAGCTTCACTCCTCTAGTGTTCACAACCTCTGGCTGATGGGACCAAGTGCAAGATGCTTCTACGCCAGACTCGCGGAGGTGCTATCCGAACAGAAGCAGCAGCCCAGAAGTTATGTTACAGCCTGGATGAGATGTCGACTGTCCTTCTCTCTCCTTAGGTCGGCTTTTCTCTGCCTCAGGGGAACGAGAGCATCGGCCCTTAAGCCGACAACAGTTGCAGATATTGACTATGAGGCTACAGTCACTGAATAGATCTGCGGCTCAACTAACTCAACACAGCTAGGGTAGTTACTAATGTATTAGGATATTTAATTTTAAGGTTATAAAATGGCGGCGAAGGTGTGGCTATTAGGGGAGGATGGAGGCCATTTAAAAGATAAAAGAAAAAAGAAGTAGTATTTGTAGTAGTAGTAGTACTAGTTGTAGTAGTAGTAGTAGTAGTTGTAGTAGTAGTTGTAGTAGTAGTAGTAGTTGTTGTTGTTGTTGTTGTTGCTGTTGCTGTTGTTGTGGAAGTAATAATAATACTAATAATAATAATAATAATAATGATAATAATAATAATAATAATAATAATAATAATAATATTAATAATAATAATAATCATAATAATTTCCCTGGGTGTTGACATAGACCAAAGCCAACAGTTATATAAGGGGCTACAATACACCATACATGTATACATTTCTTATCGTCATATACAGTACATAATTATACACACATTGTTTTTATTATACATCCTTACAAATACAATCATGGACTGTCATAGTTAGCTAAACTTTTCAAAATACAAGAAACGCTAATATTATCAAACACATATTGGGTGATTCTGAGATAATTTGGTGATTCTGAGATAATTTCGCGAGTTGACAAATTGTATAAAAGTCGAAAAAGAAAACATCAGGAATAAATAAAACGAAGCAAAGAACATAACTGATGATAATCACTTAAGGAAAACACACACACACACACACACACACACACACACACACACACACACACCTCTGTCTTTAATACTACATAAATTACAATGGTGATTTGTGTCTGTAAATTACAATATAAATACCAGTGTTGACGTACTGTAGTAAATAACACATAAACTACAGTGATTGGTGACCTTCTGGTGCCTGTACTAATACAATACAGGAATAATGATGACGTCAGCCTGGTTTATAACACAGTAAAACCTCCATAAAACGGACTACCCTCTCTCATATAGTCCGTTAGAAGGAGGTTTCATATATAACGGACTTTGATATAATAGACTAATCTCATATAGTCCGTTTAAAGGAGGTTTCACTGCATATAATTTTCAGTGTCGATTCTTCCCATTGTGCGTCGGTGTGACCTGAGCCAGTGAGGGCCAGGGGGAGGTCAGGAGGAGGTCAGTGAGGGCCAGGGGAGGTCAGTGAGGGCCAGGAGGAGGTCAGTGAGGGCCAGGGGAGGCTATTGAGGGCCAGGAGGAGGTCAGTGAGGGCCAGGAGGAGGTCAGTGAGGGACAGGAAGAGACCAAGAGGCCAGGAGGAGGTCATTGAGGGCCAGGGGGTCAAATATCATGAGAGACCTTGCTTGGAGTCACCATCTTGACCATCCGCTCCTGCTTCTTGGCTGTGAGAGTTATAAGAAGAGGAAATATTATTAGTTTATTTATTATTGTCATAGTGATGATAATAATAATAATAATAATAATAATAATAATAATAATAGTAAGTTAGTTTGGGGAAGCAATGGATTAACCTAGTGAAGCAAAAGGTTGACCTAGTGAAGCAAAAGGTTGACCTAGAGAAGCAAGAGATTGACTTAGTGGAGCACGGACTTACCTGAAGAGGGTATGAACAGGTCAAAGACAAAGTTGACGGGCAGCTCAATGATGCAGGTCAACAGGATGCTGACCACGCCCGCGATGAACATCACGCCCGCGCTCTCAAACAACTGTGTGGGCGTGGATGTTAGTGCGGGCGCTAATAATCTCTCTCTCTCTCTCTCTCTCTCTCTCTCTCTCTCTCTCTAGTGTTATATTTTTCTCACACACACACACACATTGACATTGAAGAATAGTTACACATACATTAGCTATTATTATTATCACACACACAATCACACACAATAGATAACAACTTACGATAAAATATTTATTACTTATTAGTATTAAGTTTTACCGTATGTGTGTGTGTGTGTGTGTGTGTGTGTGTGTGTGTGTGTGTGTGTGTGTGTGTGTGTGTACGTACCTTGTTGAGATAGTTGTAGTAGTTAGGGACGTACTGAACGCTGGACCACCACAACTGGACCACTGGGGCCACCAGGTACATACAGAAGGTGAGGCGGGCCAGTGGTCGCCACCCAGGGTACGACAAGATCCGGTCCACCATATCTGTTGATAGATAGATAGATAGATAGAGATAGATAGAGAGAGAGAGAGAGAGAGAGAGAGAGAGAGAGAGAGAGAGAGAGAGAGAGAGGGGGGCCAGAATACTCACCAGCGTTACCAGTATGGCAGGTAAACACGACCCAAGCAACACACAGCCCCCACACAGGCCTGGCCAGGGCTCCGTACACGGCTGACATGGTTGGGTAGTTGATGTACTTCTCGTCCGGAAACACGTGGTTATACGGGTAGAGTCCTAACACCAGTATCAACCCTAGCGACACGGCAGCTACGTAACCTAACACCACTATCACCTGCGGGTGTTAGAGGAGGCAGGTGTTAGGGAGGATAGGTGTTATGGGAGACAGGTGTTGGAGTGCACAGGTAATGAGTAAACAGAGATCACACTTACACACACTCACCCACACACCGACACACTCACACCCCCACACACCCACACCCACACATCCACTCACCCACTCACACACTCACACACCCACACACCCACCCACACACCGACATACTCACACCCCCACACACCCACACTCACACACACACCCAGCCACACCCACACACCCACCCACCCTCACACCCACACACCCACACTCACCTTGGAGATCTTGACTCTAGACACGGTAGGTTGGCGCAGGAGGAAGGCGCACCACACGCCCACCAACCACGGCCCGGCACGACACCACGGCACCAAGTACACTCGCCACATGTACTCGAACTGTGTATGTGACCTGTACAACACACACTACACTGTAATGCACACCTATCGCGGAAAACCCTCTCTATAACGGACTTTCATCTCTAAACCATTAAATAGAGGTTTTAGTGTACAAATATATCACCTGACGAAGAAAATAGTTATATTATAGTTATACAAGACAATAATATAAGAGGTACATTGATGTAATTAGTGAACACCTGAGTCGTAAAGAAGACAGGTATGGCAGTGTTATTAATCCACTACACTTTATTGGGTCTAAACTATTGCTGTATATAAGGTGTGTGTGTGTGTGTGTGTGTGTGTGTGTGTGTGTGTGTGTGTGTGTGTGTGTGTGTGTGTTTGAGAGAAAATGTGTTTAAGAGAAAGAAAAGAGAGAGCGAAAGAGACTCAACCAGACAAACAAACATACAAACACACACAGAGAGAGAGAGAGAGAGAGAGAGAGAGAGAGAGAGAGAGAGAGACTCCTCACTACCCCATCACCAGGAGTGGGAGATACTCACGGTATGTAGTGGAGTGGTGAAGGAGGGAGGTTGTAGACGATGGTGATAATCAGGGGCACCAGGATAGCCAGCAGCGTCACCAAGCTCAAGCTCACCAACCCTGGAGTGAGGCAAGAGAGAGAGAGAGAGGAGGAGGAGTAGTAGGAAGATGGTAGGAGGAGGAGTAGTCGAGGAAGAGAAGCAGGACACAAAAAGAGGAGGAAACGGAGGACGCGGATGGGAGGAGATGGAATGGAAGGAAGGGAAGAGAGGGGTAGAGGAAGGGTGTGGATGGAAGAGGTAACAAAGGTTAATACATTATAAAAAACGTCATTTAATTAAAGGTAACTAAATTTAATTAGCATGTAGACCAACACACCATTAATAGTCTAAATAGTAGTTGTAGTAGAAGTAGGAATGGTTGTAGTAGTAGTAGTAGTAGTGGTCAACTAATTTAACACAGATAGGATAGCTACATATGTATTAGGATATTTAATATTAAGGTAATTAAATGGTGGCGAAGGTGTGGCTATTGGGGGAGGCTGGAGGCCACGTTTAAAAAAATAAAGTAGTAGTGGTGGTAGTAGTAGTAGTAGTAGATATTGACTGCCACTTACCTACAAACCCGAAGTAGGCGATGGGCATCAGTAGTACAGGTAGTATTAGAAGTAGTTGCATATCCACCGCCGTGTACCAGCAGTTGTCCAGACACTGTAAGTAGTAGTAGTAGTAGTAGTAGTAGTTGATTAACACCTAACCTAACCTAACCTAACCTCCCCTCACCTCCCCTCACCTCCCCTCACCTCACCTCCCCTCACCACTTACATCATTAACGTTAAAGCCTTTATTCTCGCCCAGGATAAAGTTATTGACGAATAGCGGATCCTTCCACCAATGATCTGCGCACTGATCCTGGCTGAAACTGCGCAGGACCTGGGCGCGGGGTCCGTAGGCCAGGAAGCGCAGGAGGGAGGCACAGAAGAGGGAGACGCAGAATATGGTGGGCGCTAATCTGAGAGAAGGAGAGAAAGAAATGGGAGATGAGAGAGATGGAGTAAAATGGAGATAGACAGAGAGGAAGAGATAGAAGATGGAGATAAGAAATACAGACGGAAATACATTACGATAAAAACATAAGAGATAGGAAGAAGGGAAATAGAGAAATAGCAATACTGAGATGAAAGGAGAGAGAATAAGTACATGCAAATTAGTCTATACAAACTAAAACTATTCTCTTAATTTTTCTTTGTTTATTTTCAAATTGTTTGTTTATATTCACCTTGACTTACCTGTGAGTAGTTCTTAATGACTTTCTACCGCTGCTTAATTCATACCTGTATAATTATGACTTAATTAACCTACGCTACTGAGTTATGTATCTCTCTCTCTCTCTCTCTCTCTCTCTCTCTCATATTTTTATTAATTTCCCTCTCCCTTCTCTTCTCCTTTTCTATTCCTCTTCCTCTCAGTATGCCCTGATAGGTTAGTATGCCTCGACAGATGCACTTAAACCCGATAGGTACAGATATGCCCATACAGATCAGTATGCCCCAATAAGTACACGTATGCCCCAACAGGTACACTTATGCCCCGACAGGTACACGTACTCCCCGGCAGGTAACACGTATGCCCTGACAGGTACACGTATGCCCCGACAGGTACACGTATACCCCGACAGGTACACGTATTCCCGGCAGGTACACGTGTATCAGGTAACTGGTAATTAGTCTACACTCCAGGCAGGTAATGGTCTCAAAGCCTGTTTACCTATACGGTATTAATTAACTTCGTAATTTAGTTAATTAATCTCTTGATTTTTATTTAGGACAGATCAACTCTAAGGGGAGAATGTGTGTGTGTGTGTGTGTGTGTGTGTGTGTTTCCCGTACCATCACCACTATACCTTACACCACCATCACCATTACACCTCCTATCACCATCACCATTCCCACTACCATCACCACTACACCTCCTACCATCACCAGCACCACTACTACCACCACCATCGCCAATGTACAGAATATATCCATTGAATTAGTGAACTCACCGAGGGAGTCCAGCCTTGAACAATACACGCGTTGGCTTCTACTTGGCTTCTACTTTGTGCAATTCTGGTCCAATGCACACACCAATTTCGATGAGTGTCGTCCTATTTCGACCAATCTTGATGAATTTTAGCCAGTTTGATTGTTTTCCGATAAATTTGGACCTATTTCATTTAATTTCATCTGATTCTCTCCTATTTCTTTATTTCATCCAATTCTTTCTGCCATGTTGTCGTATTTCTCCCTATTTCTCCAATTTCTCCGTATTCCGTCACCTAAATCAGTTCCCAAATTTGTTCCCTATATCGTCCAATCCCATCCAATGTCGCCCCTATTTCGATCGTTCCGTCTCCCTATTAAGCGCAAAACGACCCAATTTTCGGTCAACCAGAACAATTCCGTCCCCCTTAGCCACCGCGATCAGGGTAGCCAACGCTGAAGGATGGTGGGAGGGGGTTGAGTTTCAGTGTTGCCAATGTCTTGTTTTGAGTGTTGTGAGATAGGTAAGGAGTGGAGGGGGGTGTACAGGCTACAGGCTATGGGGGGTACAGGCTATGGGGGTGTACAGGGGGGTGTACAGGCTATGGGGGGTGTACAGGGGTGTGTACAGGCCATGGGGGTGTACAGGCTATGGGGTGTACAGGCTATGGGGGTGTACAGGCTATGGGGGGTGTACAGGCTATGGGGTGTGCAGGCGGGGGGTATGTGGGGTACAGGTGCTATGGAGGGTGTACATATGGGGTGTACATGATATGGGGGTGTACAGGCTATGGGGGGTGTACAGGCTATGGGGGTACAGGCTATGGGGGTGTACAGCCTATGGGGGGTGATTGGGTAGGATTAGGGGATTGTGATGAGGGTTAACAATAGCCAATCAAGAGATGATGGTTTTGGAGTTGGTTGTTTGAGGTGTGTGTGTGTGTGTGTGTGTGTGTGTGTGTGTGTGTGTGTGTGTGTGTGTGTGTGTGTGTGTCATCTCCAACTAGTGAATAAACCTTTATTATTGTCCAGGTGATATTTTTACCTAAACACCTGTAATTATCAGGTGTTCATCAGAGACACAGGTTGTCAACACGTCTCTTGCCACACAACGGGAAGAGGGAAAACAACATCTATTCCTGGAAACCGAACGAAATCGAACACTGGGGTTACCAAGCCAAGTGCAAGGAACCGAACACTGGGGTTACCAAGCCAAGTGCAAGGAACCGAACACCAATTCCACGTAGTCATTGTCGGGGAAATTTCTGGCTCATTTGGAAGGAATCGGAGAGAGAGAGAGAGAGAGAGAGAGAGAGAGAGAGAGAGAGAGAGAGAGAGCAACCTCTCTATCTCTTACAGTAATTGAAAGAACACCCCCCTCCTCCTCAATCCTCACCTGAAAAATCTCCTGAGGAAGGCCGTGCAGAAGAGTAAGAGCTGGGTGGCGGGGCGGTGGGAGGTGATGGTGGGCAGCAGACGGTAGGTAAGGACGAGGCCGGTCATGAAGAGGAATGGTCCACTGACAGCCACCCATTGGTCACCACCTGGCTTATGACTGGGTCCTGGTACTGTGAGGGAGTGTGGGAGGCGGTGAGAATGAGGAGAGTGCGGAGGCAGTGAGAATGAGGGAGAGTGACGGAGGCAGTGAGAATGAGGAGGCATGAGGGAGAATGAGGGAGGCAGTGAGAATGAGGGAGAGTGACGGAGGCAGTGATAATGAGGGAGCATGAGGGAGGCAGTGAGAATGAGGGAGAATAGGGGAGAGTGAGGGAGAAGGAGTGAGTGAGTGATTCAGACACACACTTACCCTCAGAGAGTCAAAAGTGTTAGCGAGGAAGTCAAAGTTCGCCTCGTATTGATGACAAATGATGATCCAGCACATAGTCAACACCCTGCAACATGAATTTAACATTACTTTAACAACCTGCAACACACACACACACACACACACACACACACACACACCACTCAGAAATCCAATATATTACCAGGGGGGATTTACACCAGTGACCCCTGCCATTATGACCCAAAGAAAACGAACAGCACGTCTTACTGGGTCAGGGCCAAGACGGGCTGAGACTGTACCCTGTTTTATGATATTTTATTTATTCGGTAACAACGGTACAGCTGCATACAGGTACAGGTTCAAACACAGGTATCTGATATAATATACAGGTACAAATACAGGTAAATGCAATATACAGGTATAGGTACAAACACAGGTACAGGGTCACAAGCATATGTACAAATACAGGTAGATGCAATATAAAGGTGCAGGTACAAATACAGGTACAGATACAATATACAGGTACAATCACAGGTACAGGTACAATATACAGGTAGAGGTACAAGATTAAAGTTTAGACACGTTCTCGCATCACCAGTTGGGAGGAAACATTGAACATGGGATTGAGAACTGGAGGCTAAAGTTGGCATCTAGACCACACGTCACGGAGTAAACATTATTGAAGCCTTTTGTCGTGATGTTTACCTCTCTCTCTCTCTCTCTCTCTCTAACACACACACATCCAACCCTCCCCCCCCTCCCATCCTCTCCCCTCTATTCCTCTACCCCATCCCCTACCTCCCTCCTTCCCCCACTCCCCTCCCCTTGGACTCACCTGAGGGCTGGAAGACAGGTAATAAGGTCGGCACCGGATTGGTTATCATACGTGAACACCTTCCTCAGGTTAGTGTAGAGACTGAAGCCAAGCAACACCTCCCGGGGACCTGTGGAAGGGTAATTACTGTATCATCCACACAAAATATATATATATATATATTCTATTCCAAACATTTTTAATTTTATTCCTCATCCATAAATATCCATTCCGTTTATTCCTCATCCATAAATATCCATTCCGTTTATTCCTCTTCCATAAATCCCCATCCTGTATGTTTCTCTTCCACAAATAACCACTCCGGGTATTTCTCTTCCGTAATTCTCCATTCTTAAAGTCTCCATTCCAGAACATTTGAGACAAGACATTTTACATTAGTTAGTCTAGTTTCTGAAATTCCCATTCCCGAAAAGTCATTCCGGTCATTCTCATTCCAGAAATTGCAATCCTAAAAATGGCCATTCCAGAAATTCCCATTCCAGTATATGTGAGAGGATTCTTCCTTTCTAGTGCCGGGAATTATAAGTATCTTTATTTTATATGAGAAGTTAGAGCGCTGAGTCACACACACACACACACACACACACACACACACACACACACACACACACACACACACAGAGCCAGCCACTGAAAAAATCATTCCAAATATTCCTGTAATATTCTCAAGGTAATTAAAATATTGCAAATAAAATTAGTACAATTAAATCATAAACATTGGTTAAAAATATTTATAATTTAAAAAACAAACAAATAAAAAATAAATATTATATAATTCATTCAAAAAAAATTCAGTATATTGTAAAAGAAAACTAAAACAAAAAACACTTATTTATTACACAAAAAATATTAAAACTTTAACGAAATATTACCCAAAAATACCAAAACAGCAGAAAATTATTAAAAGTAAAAATATTAAAACTTTGATATGAAAAATATAAACAAAGTAGCGAGAATCAGTAAGAGTTAGGAGAGAGGAAGACTAATTATGGGTCATTAAGGCAGAGTTAGGAGAGGAAGACTTAATATGGGTCATTACAGAGTTAGAAGAGGAAGACTACTCAGGGGTCAAGAAAGGCAGAGGAGAGAAGACTAATTATGGGTCATTAAGGCAGAAAGAAAAGAGAGGAAAGACTAATATGGGTCATTAAGGCAGAGTTAGAAGAGAGGAAATATTCAATTATGGGTCAATACAAGAAAGAGTTAGAAAGAGAGGAAGACTAATTATGGGTCATTAAGGCAGAGTTAGAGAGAGAGAAGACTAATTACAGGTTTATTAAGGCAGAGCAGAGATGCTACCTTACTACTGCCAAGGTGGGAGGGAGAGAGAGGTGAGGAGAGAGGAGAGAGAGAGAGACTAAATCTTGATCAATAACGAAGAAAATAATAACTTTATTAACTCACTCTGCTGCAACTGGAGTAAGATGACGTCACATGAGGTAAGCATCACTATCAGAACACCGAAGATGCCTCCAGGATTGACCTATGGGGGAGGTAATAGAGGGGTCATGTGGAGGTCAGTAGTGGTCATGAGGAGATCAATAGGGCCGCGAGAGGCCTGGCTAAGGCCTCCATGAAAGATCAATAGGAGGTCGCGAGGAGGCCAATAGGGGTCGTGAGAGGTTAATAGAGTCATACGAGTGTCAATAAGGCCTTAAGTGACAGGTCAATAGGGTCAGTGAGAGGTCAGAAATACAACGGCTAAGTACAGGACATGTGCGGTCTCACTTCTCAAAATCTTCTTTCTCTCTCTCTCTTTCTCTCTCTCTCCTCTCTCTCTACTTATGATTCAGAAAGCTGTAGATTTATAAAAAGAGAGAGACATGTCAGACCAAACACACACACACACACACACAGACACACACACACACAGACACAGACACACACACACACAGACACACACACACACTACAAAACTCTCTTATCAACTCATATGCCTGGGAAACATGACAGATCCCAGGATATAGGAAAAGACTCCGTGAATGAGGAAAGGGGTGGGGAAGGAGGGTTTTACGTTATTTATTTATTTATTTATTATGTATTTGTTTATTTATTTATTTGTTATTTATTTATTTATTTATTTGTTTATTTATTTATTTGTTTATTTATTTATTTATTTATTTGTTGATTTTTTGCTTTCATTTTTGGTGAGGACCAAAGGATTCAATAGAGAGAGAGAGAGAGAGAGAGAGAGAGAGAGAGAGAGAGAGAGACCCAACAATGTCTATGCTTATTGTTAAAAAGTGAAATACACGTGTATGCGGACGTGAGGCAAGGCTGATTGGCTAGACGGTTCGCAACAGAATATACAATGAAGGAGAAAGCGACCTTGAAGTATAAGACGAACCAATCAACGCACGCCAACCCTGAATACGCGTGGGTTGTATCATGGGTGAGGTGTGGATCACGTACAGCATGGCCTTGTCCTTGCCGTTCAGATCGTCCGTAGGGTCATCTAGTTCGTGGCATGTCCGTTACTTCATACTCATGGGCTGCCAGAGCGATGTCTGGCTGGACACCTGCAACAGGACATAATGAATCACTTCTCAAACACCTGTGTACAGTATATCAAAACACCCATCTGTCAGGGTGGTTCCAATGACTCACGAAATGCTACATTGTAACTATGTGGTCTGCTGATCCTACTCTACATTTGGTAACTAAACATCATATTAATTACGTCGAAATAAATACACATTGCATTACTTATGTTAAAACTATACAGGATAGGAACCCCCATGTCCCAATATCTATCATCTATGGTATTATAATGAGTTTATACAGAGTAGACAGATACCTCTTTGAGATGTTGTCCATTACAGAGAGAGAGAGAGACAGAGGCTGACAGAGACAAAGAGACATCTGACAAGAGATAAAACTGTAACCTTGGTAAAATGGAAAAATAAGTCCACCCCCCCTCCCCCTCCTCCCCCCCCCTCCCCCCGCACGTAACAGGAGGCTGTCACCCCTCTCTCGATAATGTCACGGCCGACGTCAGCACTAAACTCTGCTGACTCGAGACTGACATTACAGAGGACCATCGAGGGAACAAATGTCACGTCAGGGGGAGGAAGGGGGAAATAGGTGGGGGGTGGGGGGGTTAGGTGTGAGTGGAGGAGGAGGGGGGGTGATGGAGAGGGGGGGGTGATGGAGAGTGACGAGCTAGTTTGTTGAGAGTTGCAGGTGGAGGGAGGAGGTGGAGGGTAGTGGAGGGAAGTGGAGGGTAGTGGAGGGTAGTAGACGTACCAAGAGGTTATCAGAGGTACAGGTGGAGGGTAGTGGACGTACCAAGAGGTTATCAGAGGTACAGGTGGAGGGCAGTGGACGTACCAAGAGGTTATTGGAGGTACAGGTGGAGGGTAGTGGACGTACCAAGAGGTTATCGGAGGTAGGTACAGGTGGAGGGTAGTTGTCGTACCAAGAGGTTATCGGAGGTACAGGTGGAGGGCAGTGGACGTACCAAGAGGTTATCGGAGGTACAGGTGGAGGGCATACAGGTGCCATACGAGAAGGGTAGAGGAGACGCCAGGTCAACAAGTGCCGCCCCTGACCCCACCTTCCTCTCTGACGGCTGTTGGAGGAGGAGGGTGCTGTTGACCGGCCTGGGGAGATGTGTTAGGTCAAGTTAGGTTAGGTTAGATTAGGTCATTTTGTTTTGGTTAGATTAAGTTAGGTCAGGTTAGGTTAGATTAGGTCATTTTGTTTTGGTTTGATTAAGTTAGGTTAGGTTAGGTTAGATTAGGTCATTTTGTTTTGGTTTGATTAAGTTAGGTCAAGTTAGGTTAGATTAGGTAATTTTGTTTTGGTTAGATTAAGTTAGGTTAGGTTAGGCAATTTTTTTTTTTGGTTAGGTTAAATTACGTCAGGTTAGTTTATGTTAAGTTGGATTAGGTTAAGTTACGTTAGGTTTCTTTTCATTAAATTAATACGGTTAATTTATCTTAATTTAAATAGGTTAAGTACCTTAGGTTAAATGAGTGCAGGTTAAGTGACGTCAGGTTAACTGATGTAAGATTAATTGAGGTCAGATTAAGTGAAGTCAGATTAAGTTAAGTTAGATTAAATTAAATCTTATAAAATTAAACCAGCTTAAATGAAGTCTTATTAAGTCAGATTAAGTTAGATCAACATACTGGTAATAAATAGTACAGTAGCGGCCAGTGTAGTTCCTGAGTGTGGTCACCCAATGTAGGTCGACCAAGGCGGTGAGGTTGTAGTGTGCCTCGACGTTCAGGCACTCCTCGTACATACCTGGCACCCTGATGTTGCCGAAGAAGAACCCATCTGGCACCTTACCCCACGAGTCTATCACTGGAGGAGAGGATGGGAGAGAGTCAGAGGGTGGGAGGGGGTGGGGAGAGAAGATAGAGAGAGAGAAGGGTGGAAGAGAGGGGGGGCAGGAGAGAGAGAGTGGGTGGGAAAGAGAGAGAGAGACAGAGAGAGAGAGAGAGTGGGATGGGGAGAGAAGATAGAGACAGATAGGCAGACAGAGAGAGAAAGTGAGAGAGAGAGAGAGAGAGAGAGAGAGGGAGAGAGAGATTAGAATCATGCATTGTTAGGAGGACTTGATAATTTGAGACCCTAGCTTATTTCACGTGAAGATTGACCACCCTGATGATACTTAGGGACGATAGGTTAGGTTAGGTCAGGTTAAGTTAAGTTTGGTTAGTGTTAGGTTAGGTTAAGTTAGGCTAGGTTAAGTTAGGTTAGTGTTAATATTTGTTACTGTTTAGGTGAAGCTAAGGACGGACAGGTAAGGGCCACGAGTCCCTCTACTGTATGTCCAGGAGGCAATAATCACCCACCTACCCTTAACTACCCTTAACCACCCTTAACCACCACCAAAGGCAAGTAACACACACACACACACGGCTTAGTTATATTTTGAATATGATAAAATCGGATCTCACCCGAAATAGGTGTTGGTAGGTCGACAAAACACCCTATTATCATCTCAAAGTCTATTGTTGATTGATAATTAAGAGTTGAGGTAAGTAAGGCGTAGTAGATAATGATGATAGTGGAACAAAAGGCGTTTTGTTTTTCTTAACATCAAAATGTCGAAGGTGTGTTTATACAGCGGAGGGGAGGGGTAGGGGAGGTGTGGAGAGGGGTAGGGGAGGTGTGGAGAGGGGTAGGGGAGGTGTGGAGAGGGGTAGGGGAGGTGTGGAGAAAGGGTAGGGAGAATATTAAGGTAGTGAAGAAGGGGTGAGGAGGTGGAGAGGGGAGCAGAGGGAGGTGTGGAAATAGTGAAGAGGGGTGGGGGAGGTGTGGAGAGGGGTAGGGGGAGGTGTGGAGTGAAGAGGAGTAGGGGGAGGTGTGGAAGAGGGTAGGGGAGGTGTGGAGAGGGGTAGGGGAGGTGTGGAGTGGTGAGGAGAGGGTTAGGGAAGGTGTGGAGTGGTGAGGAAGAGTAGGGACTTCATATGATCAAAACTTGGGACTAGCTGGGATCACATTTGGGGAACACACTGACCCACTGTATGGGACTCGCCAGGATCAAAGCTTGGGACACAGGAGGCTCGGCTACCGGCGCCCTGGCTGGCTCTGACAGGTATTGTGTTCTTGTGGTGAGCTGGCTGGAACTGACGGAGGGGTGGGAGAGGTGACAGAAGCGGGGGAAGGGATGGGAGAGGGTGGGAGGTAACAGAAGCAGGAGAAGGGATGGGAGGGGTGATAAGTGACGTTGGAATAGGCAAGAGTAATGGGAAGGGCAATGTAAGGGGTAAGATAATTAATAGGGAGGACTGGAATAGACGGGGGATGAGGGAAGGGACAATGGAAAAGGCGTGAGAGGGACTGAGGGTAACGAGGGGATGGAAAAGGTGTGTTGAGTGAGGGAGAGGGAGATAGGCAGAGAGGAAGGGGAGAGAGAAGAGGAGGGGGTGGGTGAAAGAGAGAAAGGGAGATAAAAGAGGAAGATAGAAAAGGTTAGAAGGGAGGTAGGGAGGAGAGAAGGAAGGTAGGGAGGAGAGAGAAGGAAGGTAGGGAGGAGAGAGAAGGGAAGGTAGGGAGGAAGAAGAAGGAGGTAGGGAGGAAGAGAGGTAGGGAGGAAGAGAAAGAGGTAGGGAGGAAGAGAAGGGAGGTAGGGAGGAAAGAAAGGGAGGTAGGGAGAAGGAAGAAAGAAGGGAGGTAAAGGGAGGAAGAAGGGAGGTAGGAGGAAGAAGGAGGTAGGGAGGAAAGAGAAGGAAGGTGAAGGGAGGAAGAAAGGGAGGTAGGGGAGGAAGAGAGAAAGGGAGGTAAAGGGGGAAGAGGGAGGGAGGGTGGGTGAAGAAGAGGAGAGATAGGAAAGAAGGGAGGTAGGGAGGAAGAGAAGGGAGGTAGGGAGGAAGAGAAGAGAGGTAGGGAGGAAGAGAAGGGAAGCAGGGAGGAAGAGAAGGAAGGTAGGGAGGAAGAGAAGGGAGGTAGAAGAGAAGAGAAGGGAGGTAGGGAGGAAAGGAAGGGAGATAATAGGGAGAATCGCCTGAGTTAACTGACGTATAGGAAAAAATAGGGTGGGGGGTTCGAACTATTGTCTCGTGTGTTGTGAAGCGAGCAGTGATGCCAACCCAGGCGTCCACCAACAGAATGTCTGGACGGTACTTGGACGATATTCCCAGTGGACAAAATCATATTGGACTAAATTTTATCAGATAATTTCTAATTGGACAAAATCTAACAAGGGCAAAGTGTGAGGTTGTTAGCTTCTACTGAATGAGGAATACAAACACACACACACACACACACACACACACACACACACACACTTACTCTTCAGGATGGGTCTTAAGAGTTTTTTGTAGTGCAAGATAATGTTTATATCACTGGTGTCTTTCTCACAGTCTTGGTTGTCTATGTACTTGGCGGAGGGGAGGTAGAATGACTTCATGTCTTGCCACACCTTCAGCAGCCACGCCGGATCAATCCCAGAATCATCCTCGTCATCTCCTGAAGGTTCTGACGGGGAGGAACTCAGTCTGTGGAATTTCGTGGATTAGTTTATTTATTTCTCCTTTGGATGATGTTCGGTGATTGTGTGTATTAATTACTTCAAGTGTCGAGTCTGTGTGATTTTTCTCGTGTACAGGTGTGTGTGTGTGTGTGTGTGTGTGTGTGTGTGTGTGTGTGTGTTGATGAGAGTCAGCTAGTTCTTACATCTTCACCTATGAGGAAAAACTCTACTGACGAACCTGAGAGAATCTGGATCCAAGTTTGCAAATTCCTTCAGGAGATCTCGATTCTCCAGGAGGCTCTTAGGATACATTGGAAAGAAGCTCCTCTGAGGTGTAGCTGGGAGAGTCCTATTTTTCTTCCTTTCCTCCTGCAGACGCAACTCATCCTGTAGGAGGGACGTCTGGTACATGGGGGAGGATTTCTGGTGCTCTGTGGATGGGGTGTCATTGGGTAGTGAAGACTGGTGAGGGATTTGTTGTTGTGGTTGGTACTGGTGGTGGTGGTGTTTGCTGACGAGGCTCTGTGGACCGAAGCAGTAGACGGTAGTAGGCTGAAGGAGGCAGGCGATCAACAGCGTCAGCCACAGAGATAACATAATATTCGTCATTGTCCTCCACGACCTCGTCTACAGGATGACACGACGACCTTGGGCGAGACACGACGACACTCTGGGAGATAACAGCAACAATAATAATAATAAAAAACCAAACCACTCACTCCGCTAAGGTCGTATGCGCCATGTACGATAATCACTCATGACACAAAATCCTATCCAGAGTCGGGTTGGTACAGGTAAACTACTCAACAAAACTCGGTGATTACGACTTCAGGAGCGAGTTTATAATGGAAAAGCAACAGTGGGCATTGTGAAGCCACAGGTTACGTTGACCATTAGCGGCGCGCGATAATAATGAACAGGTAAGGTGAAGGGAGGAGTTTTATGGGGCGGCCTTCCCTCTCGACAGGTATGTAATGACTGAGAGGCAGCACCTGAAGAACCTTGTGTAGAAGAGAGGGGGAGAAGGAGCAGTTCATACACCGGGGCTGGGGGGGAGGGGGAGGAGGAGAGATAAGCCGTCGACAAACATCTACACAGGGCTGATACGAGGAGGATGGGTACACCAGGGAAGGGAGGAAGGGATAGGAGGAAGGGATGGAAGAATGGAAGATTGCAGGGATGGATTAAGTGACAGGAGAAAGGGACGGAAAGTGGGGGAGGGAGAAAAAAGAGGGGCAGGAGGGAGGAAGAGGAATATGGAGAGAATTGGTGAGCAACATGAGGCCTCCTGATAATAATGACAGGCGAGGGGGGGGGGGTGGTGGTGGCACACTATCTCACGTGACAAGGTCGTCTCCGAGCAATAATAGAATCCCTCTAATAATCCCAGAGAAAAAAAATAAAATACCTTATACAAAGTCGACAAAATACCCCAGGACAAAATACCACTGGACAAAATACCACTGGACAAAATCCCCCCACAAAACTAGGTTAAGTTAGATTAAGTCAGGTTAAGTTAGAGATAAGCCAAATTAAGTTGCAACTAGATTAGGTATGATTATGTTAAGCCAGATTAAGCTAAAACTAGGTTAAATTAAGGTGAATTAAGTTAGGCTAGTTTAGATTCGTATACACTGGGTAAGAATACATTTACTTTCATCACTTTTTATCATATATATTTATCATTAAAATTTTCCCCCCTCAGTGACCAACCAACCAGGAATCTTTTTCACTGTCATTTTAAACATCGTCTCATTAGGGTTCATTTCCGTCTATAATGACACGCTTCGAAACACAAACAAAACCTTCCAATTACTCCTCCTCCTCCCTCTCTCAGTACTCTCTCGGGTACCAAGTACTTCTGTGTGACTTTTTACAGTACATCGAAATAGTTTGTTACTGAATAGGATTTACTCTGGTTTTTTTCGTCTCGTAGGATTGATCTAGTCTTTTTAACTTAGGATTAATCTCATATATTTTATTTCAGGATTTATCTCGTGTTTCATTGGGATTTGTTCTGGTTTGTTTAATATCAGGATTAGTTTTGTTTGTTTAGGAATTGTCTGTCTTTTTTATCTGTATGTTATAATGGATCTGTTTGTTTCATCTCTAAATTAGTCATCTCATTTTACAGCTTAAGTTAATCCTGTTTGTTTCACCTTAAGATTAATCCTCTCTGCTTCAGCTTAAAATTAGACCCTATCTATCTTGTTAAAAAATTATCCCTCTAGGGTTTGTTTAAGTCTTCCGTCAGCATAAAAAAAATATCTCCAATTTCTTCTCATGTTTTCACAAAAGATCTTCGACTCATCCTCAGGTTCGCCCAATCCGACACTGCTTCGCTCGGGTTCTTAGAGTCATTGTATCCAGAGGGGTTTAAACATTGCCTCAGTCTGTATCCTAACCATTAATGAACTAGATGTTGCTGCGTTTGTTTAAGTCAACCAAACTATGTATAAGAATTTTTTCAGGGTGGCTAGAAGGCATTGTGTAGATTTTCCTGCCTTAGGGTTCGACTGTTTCGTTGCTGGTTCGCTCGGCAGCCGGAGAACTGTAAGAATGTCTCGTTGGTTCATTTCCTCTCCTCTAATGAACTGAATCTAAGTCAAACACGAGCCTGCCTGTTTCTTGTTTACTCTGCGTCTCACGAGAAGCTCCCCAGAGGACACTTAACGCTTCAACAAACAGTTTCGAGTTGAGTTGGCGAATTGGCGGCAATGTAAGCTAAAAGTGTTTGATGATTAATGGATCGGGAGACATTCAGGGTAGAACAGATGACTCTCTCTCTCTCTCTCTCTCTCGTTGGCCAGATACCAACACGAAGTTAAAGGGTTTCCCACCCCCCTCCCTCACCCTCTTCACCCTCTCTCGCCCCTATACCTTTGTCCCTCCCTCACCACCCCTCCACCTCCTCGCCCCCTATTTCCTCCCCTCACCCCTCCACCTCTTCACCTTCTCTCACCCTCTCTCCCTCCTACGCTTCTCTCCCTCCCTCCACCTCCTTGTCCCCTAACTCCCTTTGCTATATTTAAGAGGGTGGGGGAGGGAGTGGTGGAGCTCTCAAGCATCACCTTCAGGGTAAGGTCGGGGTGTAGGCTCGGGGGAGAGATAAGCACTATCACCCCCAAGCAGATAACCTGGGGGAGTTGTGGAGGAGTCCGCTTTGACTCACACGTCAGGAAGGTCTTTGGTTCGAATCCCGGATAATATGTGTGTGTGTGTGTGTGTATAGGAGATGTAAACAGGGAAACCAGTTACCAGATGAACAACGATGCCATTGAGAAATCCGACTGCGAGAGATTTAGGAGTAATGATAAGTAGGAACCTTAAGCCAAGTAAACAATGTGTTTTTGCTCGTAACAAGGCTAATAAAGCACTTGGGTTCATACAAAGGAGTGTTAGTTACAAGACTAGCGAGGTCATCCTAAAACTGTATCTTGAGCTTGTGAGACCACACCTGGATTACGCAGTTCAGTTCTGGTCACCGTATTACAGAATGGATATAGAATCCTTGGAAAGAATTCAGAGGAGAATGACAAGACTAATCCCGGGCATTAGGAACCTAGAGTATAGAGACAGGTTAAAGCATCTTAATTTGCACTCCCTCGAGAGACGTAGAGCGAGGGGCGACCTGATAGAGGTGTATAAATGGAAGTCAGGGCTGAACAAACGGGACATTACAAAGGTACTCCAACCAGGAGCGAACTCGTAACAATGGTTTTAAATTAGACAAATTTAGATTTAGGTGCGAAATAGGTAAACACTGGTTTGGAAACAGAGTAGTGGATGAATGGAACAAGTTACCAAATATCATCATTAACTCGAATACGCTGGATAGCTTCAAACATAGGTTGGATGCTTATATGAGCAATAGGGGTTGGGTGTAAACGGGACTGCCCAGTATGGGCCAATAGGCCCGCTGCAGTTTCCACCATTCTTATGTTCTTATGTTCTTGTGTGTGTGTGTGTGTGTGTGTGTTTGCGTATCATCAAGATAAACAATAACACAACAAGGTCATAACCTCACTCTATATCACAAACAAATTCTTTTCCATCTCTCCTCATCAAAGACTAATTTTACCTGTAATTTATATAACATTCCCCTATTAATCCCCAGATCTTGTATAAATCCACCAGCTGTTCCTGGATTTGTAAGGAACTCGAGAAATCCGAATAAATCCAAAAACAGTTAAATGAATCAGTCAGCTGTGTTTGTTTACATGTGAGGGGGCGAAGGAGATGAGGGGAAGAAGGGCTACATAAATGAGGGGGAGGGAGATGGAAGAGAGGGAAAGAGGATGGAAGGAAGAAAGTTAGGAAGGGAACGAAAAGGGAGGGGGGAAAGGGAGAAAGAATGACAAGGGGGATGAGAAGAACAGGAGGGAGAGAGAGAAGAATAAATTAGATGGAGAACGGAAAGAATAATAATAAAAAGAAAAACCAGGAGAAGTAAATACAAGAAGAGGGAGGAAGATGGAAGGAATAAAAAGGAAGAAGTGGAAGAGGAGGACAACATAAGCTCGGTCATGTCCCCCTAAATTCCCCACCTCTCCTCCTCCCCACCTTCCCGAACTCCCCTCCCTACCCCTCCTAACCTCACCATCTCTCCTAACCTCCCCACCCACCCTAACCTCCCCACCCACCCTCCTCCTCCCCGCCCACCCTCCCCTCCTAACCTCACCATCTCTCCTAACCTCCCCACCCACCCTAACCTCCCCACCCACCCTCCTCCTCCCCTCCCAGATATAAAGAAAAACTTGGCCTAAAACTTGCCTCAGAAATCCACACCAACAAACTCACTTGACGTCTCTTGTAGGGTTATACTCGACCATCTGTTTGGTTGTCGTCATCATGTTTACGCCACACTACAGGCTCAAGCTCCTCTGGTCTAAACTCTCTCTCTTGTGTATATATGAGTCGAGGTTATTACAGTCGATGGTCACAGTTTGAAGAGTTCCATTGAAGTGATTCGGTAGTAAGGAAGCTTTTATCTCTCTCTCTCTCTCTCTCTAACAGGTAGTAACTCACACAAACACTGGTCATTATCTCTCTACTTGTGAGGAGATAACGAGATTTATCGTAGTGTCTCTCAGCTGTAGGTACGGTAGGCAAGGCTGTGATAAGGTGTGGTAGAGAGAGAGAGAGAGAGAGAGAGAGAGAGAGAGAGAGAGAGAGAGAGAGGTATTCAGTGCTGGTGGTAGGTGTGTGTGTTCTCTCTCTCTCTCTCTCTCTCTCTCTCTCAACGTATGAGACAGCTATGTCGGTACCTTGTAATAATGCTAAACTCTTGATAGAGAGACAGACAAACAGACAGGTGAGATGAGTTGGTGATATAAGTTGAGGTGAGTTGAGGTGAGAGATGAGTGAGTTGGTGAGGTGAGATAAGGTGAGATGAGGTGAGGTGAGATAAGGTAAGTTGAGGTGTGGTGAGGTGAGGTGAGGTATGGTGATGTGATGTGCGATGAGTCGAGGTGAGGTGAGGTGAGGTGAGGTGAGGTGAGGTGAGGTGGCTAATTATCCTGAGACATGACTCCAACTTGATATCTTTCTGAGTAAACTTGAAAATATGGCGCAGTCTTCATCGTGATTGAGTGTTGTGTTATCAAGACGTCCTGGTTATCATTGGGCTCTTATCCTCTGTGTTATCTTAAGTGTGTACAAGGGCATGTGTCCGATATATTTTTAATACCTTGGATGTCGTTGAGGTCCTTATTTTTATTCTAACCAATTTTTGTTCAGTTTTTGTTCAGTTTTTTGTTGTTTTTGTTAAATTTGTGTTCAGTTTCTGTTATTTTTTTTGTTCAGTTTTTGTTCAGTTTTTTGTTCAGTTCTTTGTGTTTTTATTTAAAGACCAATATATATATTTTAATATTATTTATTTATTATTTTAACCTTTTATTTAATTTTTTTGTGGTTTTATTTTATGTGATGACTAATTGTTTATATATATATATATATTTATATTGTTTTTATAATTTGTATACCAGCAAGACACAGACTCTGTTCAGGTACACTCACAACACTGTCAACAAATTGAGTCTTAATATTCCTCAATTATATATGTAAATTATTATACATCTTCTAATACAATTTGTTATCTTTTTACAGTAGCTTTTTCCTACCTATTATTGTTATTATTATCATTATTGTTAACATTATTGGTATTATTGTGAGTCATATTAGAAGTATTATAATACTCATTAACATTCACAATATTGGTGGCTCCTACGTGCGTGTTTCAGGTATATTTTTATCGACTAATTAATCTTAATTAATTATGGCCTAAAGTAAGGTAGAGAGATTATTTTTAAGAATTAATGAGGCTCCTCCTAATTTTATGTGGATGGAAGTGGATTAGTGGTAATTGGTTACCTGTGTGTGTGTGTGTGTGTGTGTGTGTGCGTGTGTGTAATAATAATAATAATAATAATAATAATAATAATAATAATAATAATAAACGGTTTATTAATAGAGTTGCAGCCGGTGGCTGAAAATATACAGACTTATATTTGATTTAGAAATAATGATATAATATGCATTGAATACATTTACAGGGCTGTACAGTACATAAATCAGGAGTTGTTTATTATTTTAACAATAGATGGGATGGTGCTGTTCTTATATCTATCGGTGCAGGTTCTTATGGGCTGAATTTTGTTGTAGTGGCGGACTGCGCGAGTTGGGTGGGGGGCTGCAGGTGGCAGGAGGTGGCGATAGTGAGGGTGGTGCAGTAGTCCACGGCCAAACCTTTCCAGTGCTTGGTGGTGGAGGTCACTGAGGGATGGCATTTCCAGGGTGGAGAGAGCGTTGGTGTAGCCGGAGTATTTTGCGCCGAGCATGATTCTGCAGGCCCTTTTCTGTGTGTGTGTGTGTGTGTTAAGAATGAAGGAGGCGAATAATGATAAGGTTTGATTAGAGGGAACTTGGATAATGGCTTCTTTATAGTTAAAAATGACCCGTGTTGTGATTGGGACTATGAGGGTAAGAGTGATGATGGATTGGGATATTACTAACACACTAATCATGGATAAAGTGAGAGAAGAGAGAAAGTGTAGAGAATCAGTTAGTCTGTGAGATGTGAGGGGAAATGAGAGAGTGGTGTATGGTGTCGCCTCTGAGCTGAATAAAATTGTCGGGCATTAACCGATAATAATAATAATAATAATAATAATAAATACTAATATCATCACATTAAAAATATATTACGTATTCTTAACCTGAACTTTTCTTTATCTATCTCATTTCTCCCTTTACCCACTATTCCTTCGGTTTATTTCTCCTGTCTCTCCACTCTCTACCTCTTGTCGCCTTACCGAGCAGATGGTGGTCCCAGCCGACGATCTGTAACAATGGGCTGGCAGATGGTTCTAAGCTGTTCTATATGGGGTGGGAAAGAGACTCTCCATCACTCTAGACCCAGCTCTGTCTGGTGAAATCCCGAGTTGTTTTGCCTTAGCACGGGAGAGGGGTGGGGTGGGGTGGGGTGGGTAGAGTGGGTTTGAGTGGGATGGGTGATGTTAGGGCCGAGTTTCTAAACTTTTAAACCCTGTAGTTGAACCTTATGAATCGTGGTTTGAATATATATACACGTCTTCTCAAAGCCTATGGTTGGTTTGAAGCTTTGGGTTCGTTGTTTCAAAGTGTATTCAAGGTCTCAGTCAAAGGATTCGAAGATAGAGAAGCATTTAAAGATCATTAATATGAATTTAGGCGACATTAATGGACATATTAAGTTATTTAGACCAGTGTTTCGAAGCTTCAGGGAGATAAATTCGAAGCACAAAAAAAAGGAAAGATTTACACCGGATCTCGAAGCTAAAACCCTCTTTAACTTCGACGATGAATCCGAAACCACCGAGATTTTTAGCTTTTTGTAGGCGTCTAGTTGAGCCGGACAGATAAATCACAGCCCATAAGGAGAAAAAAAAAAAACTCGGTGTCAAAATGATTCATTCGTTCATTGTGAGTTTCGTTCTGTGTTGTCGGGTTATTTGGACTACTGTGTTTTATTATTATTATTATTATTATTATTATTATTATTATTATTATTATTATTATTGTTATTATTATTATTATGACAAAGTGTTTAAATCCGCTAACACTAATTATTGTCTCTCGCACACACACACACACACACACACACACACACAAGCACACACACACACACACACACACACACACACACACACACACAACGATAAGTGCAGGCTCAGCGCTATCGTCATACCTCCTCTGTTGACTCTAGCAACTCTCTCTCTCTCTCTCTCTCTCTCTCTCTCTCTCTCTCTCTCTAATGGTTGCTACGGAGGTAAAGTTAACAAAAGCTCACTATTTTAGGAGGTGATTTATCTCTGTAAGGCAACAATAGCATTTTCAAATAGCCTTAACTTCATGTATGATATCAACTAAATGTGAGTTTAAGTTAGTTACTCCTGAGAGATGAAGTCGTGGCGTTTTCTCTTGTTTAGCTTCGTTTACTGTAGTTTTTTTGTTGTTTTCTGTCGTTTCCTGTTGCGTTTACTGTTGTTTTCTGTCTTATACATTCTCATTAGACACATCATGTATACACACCCTATAAAAACATACACATTAAACATACATACATACATACATACATACATACATACATACATACATACATACATACACACTAAGAGCATAAGCATTACACATATTAAACAAATTACACTTCAGTCTCCCACATAATTAGTCGTAAATTTTTCCATACTCCATTATTCTGATTAGCTGGGCCTCTCACCTAGTGTCGGGGAGTGAGAGAGAGGGAGAGAGGGAGATGGTGTTTGAGAAAGGAGGAGGAAAGGAAGAAGGGAGAGGGTTAGAGAGAGGGAGGGTGAAAGAGGAGAAGAGGAAGGGAAGGAAAGAGGGAGGAAAGGAGGGTGAGGGTGAGAAAGAGGGAAGAAGAGAGACGGTAAGAGAGGGTGAGGAAGAGAAGGTAACTGGGAGAGGTTAAGAGAGGGGGAGGAAGGGAGAAGGTTAGAAAGAAAGGGAGGAAAGAAAGAATGGTGAATGAGAGGGAAGAAAGGAATAAGTAAGAGACACACACATCGAGGTTAGGTTAGGTTACGTTAGGTTAGGTTAGGTTACGTTAGGTTAGGTTAGGTTAGGTTACGTTAGGTTAGGCGTGAAGAATGGAGTTTGCAACCATACACTGTTTCAATTATCACCTGCCCAGGCCGCCGTAGGGAGGTAAATTACTTGTTTTTTCCTATTGGTTTTATGTTAAGTATTCCAAGATGGTTTTATTTGTGTTATTAATTACGATTTAGCTGAAGGCTGGTGTTGTTATTGTTGTTGTTATTATTATTATTATTGTTGTTGTTGTTGTTGTTGTTTGTATTATTATTATTATTATTATTATTATTGTTTTTGTTATTAGAATGTTTCTTGTTGTTGTTGTTTTTGTTGTTATATACAGATAGACAGATAAACAGAAAGATAGAAAAGCCAGACAGAACTACAGTAAGAAATACAGACAGTCAAAGAGACAGAAAGTAAAAAAAGTATATAGGCACTGACAGACAGACAGACAGACAAAACGACAGAAAGGGATACAAACAGACAGACAGACAGAAAAAAGAGACAGGGCGACAGACACTACGGAAGGAGATGACTAATTACTATCCAGAGGCACCAGGTAATTAGAGCTAATTAGTGAGAACATTGTTAGGTGTCCCACGCACACATTTTCTCTCATCTCCCCTCTCCCCCCTCTACCTCACCTCACCTCCCCTCTCTCTCCTCTCTCTCCTCTCTCTCCCTCACTTCCCGTCTCTCTCTCCTCTCCCTCCCCTCACCTCCCCTCTCTCTCCTCTCTCTCCCCTCACCTCCCCTCTCTCTCCCCTCTCTCTCCTCTCTCTTCCCTCACCTCCTCTCTCCTCTCTCTCCCCTCCCCCTCCCCTCTCTCTCCTCTCTCCCCTCTCTCTCCCTCTCTCCCCTCACCTCCCTCTCTCTC